AAAATAATTAAAAACCACACATAAAAATTCCCACTTCCATTTGGCATATCGATAAAAATCTTCATCAATAACAGAATTAAAATTAGCCACACATTACTAACTTATAAACACCTCATGAAAAGAGGAATGACTCCTTTTATCAGTATACCAGTTTCTGTACCACCTAAACTACGACGGAACACGCTTTTACCGAATGTCGCACTTACGAAAATGAGACACAATTTGATCTCGTTGAGCCAAAGTATATCTAAAGCGTAGTGAAAGAAATTCCCTACATATGATAATTGCACTCTGAAAGTTGTTAATAAGACAACTTAGAACATTTCTCTTCATGCATAATACCAACTAAAACATTAGTCACGTACCTTCCGTCAACGTCATGTTGTTACATCAATCGAAACATATATTAGGCCCTCTCCAATTTCTGCAAGAATACAATTACTTCGTTCTTAAGAACTGATACACATTTTTTTCAATAAATTTTCGGAAAAAAGTGTTAAAGTTGCATTACCTATGCAATTTTCATATGGGGATATCAGGAACTAAAAATGTACGACATAAATCAAGGRAATTCCTTCGAATGAGCCTTTTATAAATATTTTTTTATTTTTTTTATTTGCTTGTTGAATTACTGAGTTGTTTAACTGTACATTATTGAGTTACTTAAAACCGCTTATTAGATGAATTGATGAAACTACTTGGTCACAAAAATTGCAAAAACTGTACTAGAAAACTATTCGATATATTGTAGGTACTTTGCACAGGTACTTTGTATTTTTGGCATTTTAATGAAACCAATACTGTTCGCAAACAATACAGTAAGTATCACCACGTACGATATACGACGATAACTTGGTAAAAATGCTTACTAACTACTCACTAGTCTATAATCCAGTAAAGAATTTTGGTGTTTATATATTGTCGGAACAATAGGTAATCTTCAGCATAAGAGTTTGCGACAGTAAATATAAGATAGATTAAACTTTAAGTACTTTAARGTACTTATAGCGAAATATGCCTTAATAAATGTGTCACATAATCCACATGTACACATAATTCTAATCCTAATTATAACACTCTTTGACTAAGAAAATAAAATGGTTTTTCAAATGTCTAAATAGAATGACCCATGTACTTTTTTTATAAAAATAAGAAAAACTATCTTAATAAATGAAATATTTTTGAATATTAACGTAAAGGATATAATTAAAACAACTTGTGACATGCTTGYTAACGGTTAAATACATGTAAAATGCAACTAAAAATTAATTAATTAAATTCATGTTTTTGTATCTAGCTAAAATCTAAATTTTTGTAAAACTATCTTCATTCTTTAAAAGAAATATATGAAATATTTTTTTCTACTCAACATGCATGAATTAAATTCTCAACTATTCAGAATATTAAACTTATTAAATCAAGAGCCTGCCTTTAGATATTTTATAATAATTATTATAGTTATTAGATAACGAATTACCTAGGTATTGTATAATTTTGCATATATTTTTAATCATTTAATTATTTTTTGTTATTGAAAACAAAACCAGGAACTACAGTTCATTTATACCTCAAGTGTTCCGAGAACATTATTCTAATCTGAACCACGTAATACCAGGCATCAGGAAAAAAATATACAAATTATTGTAAGACAATTATATAAGACAATATTATATTCCTCGCTCCAGTTAAAATCTAAAACTGTAATAATTAAGAGCGATAAAAAACKGATAAATTATTATAATAGTAATGCGATTAAACTAGGAAATGATTAGTGCTGTATAGCCTATAGCAATTATAGGATTAGCCCCGACTGTATGTACTTCCATATATCATATTACATGTGTAAATTATGTAATAAACATGGACCTTAATTACTTTTCGGGATTTACCTGGATTGAATGTATTGAAATAACTTAT